AGAGCACCCCAGGCAGCCTGCCCCTGGGAGCCCCCTGCCCTCTGTGCAGCCTACATGGCGCCCTGAGCTTTGCCCAGCTGGCGATCAGCCCTCGTATGGCCCCAAATGAAGCCCTGGGCCCTTCCCAAGGAGATACCCCGGGCAGAGCCCATGGCTCCTGGCAGGCACTGCTCCAGCTTGAGCTGCAGTTCTGACACCCAGCACTGCCCGCTGGGACCAGGGGTTCTGCTGCCTGCGCCTGGCAAACACGGGCCCCAGTTTCACAACTCCCTGGCCTGCATTTGGCTCTTTGCCCGCCCCCTCCCGAAGCCTGTCCTCGAAACAGCCTTACGCAAGGGCCCGTCTCCCTTTGTCTGAGCTACCGCACAGCGCCCTGGAGCCTAGAGAACCGGGCGACGCTGGGTTCAGCCCGTTCCTGGCTTCCGCAGCGCCAGAGCTCCAGCACATGGCTCCTGCCAAGGCTGCGAGGCCTGTCTGCTTGTCAGGGCCGTGACGCCATGTCACAAAGCCCCCTGGCCTGGGTGCTGCAGCCCCGGCGAAAGCAGCGAGGGAGGAAAGCCGCTGTCCCAGAGCCTTTACTGCCAGCCAGGGCTCCTTTCACCGAGTCAGTTGTTCCATTTTCAGGCCTGTTCACACTGGGCCCAAAGCAGGGCCCATGGCCTTTAGGGTTAAAGAGACTTTGCAACAAAGGCTTCACTGGGCCAGGCAGGTCTGGAACCTCAGCCCCTCCCGCTGTCCGGATCACTGAACCCTGAACAGTCCCCAGAGAATCTTTAATGGGGGTCTTTGCCTCTGCCCATACCTTGCTGGGCATGAGAAAGCCAAGGGATTCACTAGCCTATTTATTGATGTTAGTCCAGTTGGTCCCTGGAGAAAGTTTGCTAACCTGAGACCAGTGTGTGAGTTTTCATAGAATCATAGAACACTAGGACTGGAAGGGACCTCGAGAGGTCAATGAGTCCAGTCCCCTGCCCTCACGGCAGGACCAAATCCTGTCTAGACCATCCCTGATAGACATTTATCTAACCTGCTCTTAAATATCTCCAGAAATGGGGATTTCACAACCTCCCTGGGCAATTTATTCCAGTGTTTGACCACCCTGACAGTTAGGAACTTTTTCCTAATGTCCAGCCTAAACCTCCCTTGCTGCAGTTTAAGCCCATTGCTTCTTGTTCTATCCTCAGAGGCCAAGATGAACAAGTTTTCTCCCTCCTCTTTATGACACCCTTTTAGATACCTGAAAACAGCTATAATGTCCCCCCTCAGTCTTCTCTTTTCTAAACTAAACAAACCCAATTCTTTCAGCCTTCCTTCATAGCTCATGTTCTCTAGACCTTTCATCATTCTCGTTACTCTTCTCTGGACCCTCTCCAATTTCTCCTCATCTTTCTTGAAATGCGGTGCCCAGAACTGGACACAATACTCCAACTGAGGCCTTGTTGTCATGTCGCATCTCTTCTTCAAACAGTGTCACGGGAGTGGTTGTTTGCTGAACACATTTGCTGCAGAAAAAGTTAAACTCTTCTCGGCTAGGTTGCGGGTACTTGGTTTTCCGAGCAAAATTAATTGTATGAG